GGAAGAGAAAAGAAGAAAGAAATTTACGAATATGAATGTAGTGGTTTGAAAGAAAATAGTGCCAAAGGGAGTGGCACTATTAGGAGGCCTTGTTGGAGTAGGTGTGGTCTTGCTAGAGAAAGTACATCACTGTGGAGGCGGGCTCATATATGCTCAAGCCACGCCCAGTGAGACTATCTACTTCCTGATGTCTTCTGATCAAGATGTAGCTAGCACCATGTCTGCCTGAATGAGGCCATGCTCACCACCATGTTCCCCTCCATAATGATAAAGGACTAAACCTCTCAACTGTCAGAGAGCCACCACAATTAAATGTTTTCCTTTGTAAAAGTTGCCATGGTCATGGTGTCTCTTCACAGCAATAGAAACAATGGGTATTTTCAGAGTAAGTTAACTTCTTGCTATTTCTCTAATGATGTTCCAGTAATTGATCCTAAAGGGGAGGGGAGGGAAAAGAATGGTGTGTATTGAACATTAATCACAAGCTTGTCAATTACTGAACCGCATTTTACTAATGGTCCCGATCATGAATCCTGGCAATCGCTGCTCCGGAAGAACCATTGGTCCACTTTGTCAACGCAGTTCAGATATCCAGTCTTAATGATTTTCTAATCCTCTGCCTCATCCTCTCTCTCTTACCATTCGACATCTGGATAAATTTCTACATGCTCTCTCTGTAGGTACGACTAGAGTGCCTAGAACAACAAAATAAATTCTTGGTGTTTGAATTCAAAACAAGCCCCTCTGCCCCCAGTGCTATGGGTCAAATCCAGGGCCTGTGGTGGGCTCTGCCACTAAGCTCGAGCCCAGCCCATGTTCAGTGACATTTATACCCTATAGCACATTCAGCTCAGCTTCTTTTCTGTTTGTTTGTTTGTTTTGTTTTTTCTTTTTTTTTAAAATATTTATTTATTATGTATACAATATTCTGTCTGTGTGTATGTCTGCAGGCCAGAAGAGGGCACCAGACCTCATTCCAGATGGTTGTGAGCCACCATGTGGTTGCTGGGAATTGAACTCAGAACCTTTGGAAGAGCAGGCAATGCTCTTAACCACTGAGCCATCTCTCCAGCCCTTGTTTTGTTTTTTCAAGACAGGGTTTCTCTGTGTAGCTCTGGCTGTCCTGGAACTCATTCTGTAGACCAGCCTGGCCTTGAACTCATAAAGATCCACCTGCCTCTGCCTCTCTGAGTGCTAGGATTCAAGGCATGGGCCACTACTGCCTGGCTTCAGCTCACTTTTGGTGTAGGAGGTCTTTCAGTATTTGTGTTGCTTTCATTGGTTAATTAATAAAGAAACTGCTTGGCCTGATAGGGCAGAACTTAGATAGGCGGAGAAGACAGAACTGTATTCTGGGAGGAAGAAATCAGCAGATAGAGCCGAGCTGCCATGAAGCTGCCAGATCAGATACGCTGAATCTTTCTCCATAAGCCACGACCTCATGGTGACATATAGATTATTAGAAATGGGTTAAATCAAGATGTGAGAGTTAGCCAATAAGAGGCTAGAACTTATGGGCCAAACAGTAATTTAATTAATACAATTTCTGTGTGGTTATTTCGGGGGTTAAGCTAGCCGGGCAGCAGGACATGGCCCGCTCGCTCCTCTTAAAACAGAGTGGCCCAAAGCAGCAGACTCCTCTTACAACACACTTTCATGTGCAAAGTAGTTTAACCATTTTTTTCTATTGTTATAAACATTTGTTCTAAAATGAAAAGCATGGGTCTGGAGACACGCTCTTGCTGAAGACCTTAGTTCAGTTCCCAGCATCCACACAGTGGCCCACAGCCATCTGTAACTGCATTTCCAGGCAATCCAACCAATGCCCTCTTTTACCTTCCACAAACACTAACATAAAAATGGTGCATATACATACAAGCGAGCAAAACGTTAACACATAAAACAAAATAAATAAATCTTTTTTTGTTTTTGAGACAGTTTTTCGTGTAGTCCTGGCTGTCATAGAACTTGCTCTGTAGACCAGGCTGGCCTCAAACTCACAGAGGTCTGCCTGCCTCCTGAGTGCTGGGATTAAAGGCATGTGTTGCCACCATCACCCAAAATATAAATAAATCTTTAAAGAATAAAATAAAATAAAACTTTGGAGGCAAAGTTCTATTACAAGTCAGAGGTTAACAAACTACGAGCAGCAGGGTTAAAGTTTTGTAAAATAAACTTTTATTGAAGCACGACCATGCCCATGCATACTGTGTGTCTGTGAGTGCTTTGCACTTACAGCAAAAAGAGTTGAGTTGCAAGAAATTGAATCTGCAAAGCAAAAAATACCTACTGTTGGCCTCTTCCAGCAGGTTTTCTGACTCTTGCCTAATTAAGTTAGAGAGGAGAAAGAGAGTAAGAAGTGTGTTGTGCATGTCGGGGGGGCTAGGGGGTGGGGGGTGGCAATGTTTTCTCCCAGCAAAAGAGGCAAGTTTGTTCTGCAGAGAAAAAGAGAGCAGAGTTATTAGAATTTAAGGAACTATGACACGAGCTTAGAGTATCCTAGGTCATGGAGAACAGACAGAGCCCATTCCAAGCTAAGCCCAAAGAGGGAGTTGGAGCAGAAATCAGGAATATCAAGGTATCCTCTGGCTGATCATTATCTTTACTTCTCATTCTTCAAGGTGATGTGAAGGAGTCCTTACTATTTGTGTGTGTGTGTGTCCAGTGTGTGTGTGTTGACATCATAAGGCTGCTGGCCCTAGAGAGAAGGGACGGGAAGAAAGGAAGGGATAGGTGTACGCTGGCATTCATCGTGTGTTTATACAGAGGTGTCCATGTGAGTGTGGTCTCCAGAGCTTGACAGCCTCACATCTGCTGTCTTTTTTGATCTCTGTGACTCTCAGCCTTTTCTTTTTTAAGTTGGTGCTCACCATGACTGACGGGCTGGCCAGCAAGCCCTCCTTCAGCATGTTCTCCCCCTTACCCTGACTAAGGTTACGCATGTGACCACCACTCTCAGGATTTTTACCTGGGTGTGTTGGGGATCTGAACTCAGGTCCCCATGCTTGCATGGATCCACCTCCCCAGCCCAGAGTCCTTGTGAATTGAGGAAACAATCATTCGGCGTCAGATGTTTGCTCCTGCTTGGTCGTGAAGCTCAGCTGTTCTGAGATCCAAGATGACAGCCGTTTAGGACAACGACCGTTGCCTTTTTGGAGTCTGGACTAGGACTATGAAGAGATGACCACAAATGCCTCATCACTGTTTGTACCTTCAGTCTTGAAGGGGAGTGAGGCAGGCGAGCTGTTGCCAGGTGCTCTTCAAGTGATTGGCATGTCTGTGTGTAGCTAAGCAGGAGCTTGGTCCAGAGTAAAAGAGACAGATGTGGACTAAAGACAGAGTTGGCATCTTCCCACTTTTAGTTACCTGAGGCCATAAGCAAGGAGTCAGCGCTTTTCGGTAAAGGCAGTTCCGGAGTGCCAGTTATGTAACCAGTGAGAACAGAAACAGTATCTCAAGGCTAGGGAAAGACAAAGGATGTCATGTGGCTCAGATGCCCCACCCTCAATGCCAGGATAATTTTTGGAGTTCCTATTTCAGAATTTAGAGAGACGGAAACAGAAGACAGATCGTTGGCTAGGTGGTTCCCCGAAAGTGTTAAGTGGGCTGCTCGGAGGGTAACAGCTCTGACAGCAAACTGAATCTTCGAGCTCATTCTTCGGAAATTCTGCCTAGCAAAGAGTCAGCATTAGGGCAAGGATCCTAGTGCCAGAGGCTTTGCTACTGTAGGAGAAATGTTCTACCCTGTGCTGTTCAGCACATAACTGCTTAGCCCTTGAAGTATCATTCATACAACCTGAGTTCTCACTTTCCTCTGTGATAGACAGGAAGCTTTGGTTCAGAAATCTTGCAGATGCTTGCCTTTGACTTGCTAAAGCATTGCAAGTATGGAGAGACAAAACGTTATAGACTGTGAATCAAAATCACATTGAATTATTTAAGCCTTTTAATAGCCATTTACCTCAACTTTTGTATTTGACCTAACATTCTTGAGCCCGATAAAATTTATGAAGACCTCCTCTGGGCTCCAGCAACCCTAGAGCTAAAAATGTCACATTCGAAACCTAAGGTAGACTCTCAACCTTCCTGTAACCCTGAAGCTCCCACCAAAATAACTGATTGATATCTTGATCTGACATTTTGACGGCTTTGTTCTGTGGCTATAAAAGGTCAGTAATCTCCATTGTGAAAGGTGTCATTGCGAGGTATCCCAAATCTCTCCTCGGGCCATGATCACTTATATTAAGCTGGGAATAAACTCTTTTTCCTCTCCTTGAAAGTAGACTTGTCATTTCACGTGTATACATCTGATGTCTTTTAATTTATAAGTTAAATAGCCCCAGGGTTGGAATGTAGCTCAGTGGTAGAGAGCTTGCTTGCATGAGGTTCTGATCCAGCCCAGAAGACAGAAAGCAGAGAAGCAGGGGGAGAGGAGCCGGGGAGAAGCTGGGAGGGGAGGAGAGGGAAAGAGAGGAAACCAGCCAGCTACAGTTCCGGCGCAAGACACTAGATTGCTTTCCAGGTACAAAATGTTCTCATACCACTTAAGAATTAAAAGGGGGTGACGAGAGGCCTGGCTTAGGGAACAGCCAGCATCATGGTCTGTTTTTGTTAAGTCCCCCAGCATTGTCTCTGAAGGGAATGCTTGAGTGTTCTGGCAAGTTCTCAGACATAACATCTGAGAGGGCGCCTCTGAAGCAAAACACAGGTTGCTTGCCACCAAGACGCAGATGCCTCAAGAGCTTTGATTTCCTCGTGATGACCCGCCAGACGCTGCTGTGGGAAGCCGGACAAAGAGTTCTGAGATGAGCGAAAACAGAGAGAAAAGGAAACAGACAAGCCCCAAGGAAGGAGAGGAGGGTGCAGAGTTGGGGCGGGGCGGCCGGGCAGCATCTTCAGCTGCAGGCTCTTCCTGCCCAGCCCTGCGCCAACCCTCCCCTTCTCGGCGCTCAGCTGTATTTGGCTGTTTCATCCCTTCTTTCCTCCGGTGAAAGCCTGTAATTACAGACACCAGGTGCGGCGGCTCTCTCTCCTCTCCGGTGACTCCAGCAGTCAGAGCTGTGAATGGTAATTTACCAACCACCACCGAAGTTTCCTTTCAAAAGCAGGATACGCTGGGTGTCATGTTACCTCACTCCGAAGCCCGAGACAATAGAAGAGGAAATAGAATTTACCCCTGGAACAAAGGAGTCTGCAGCTCACTTTTCTTTAGCCCTGGATAGGGTGGGATTGACTGTTGCCTCTATAGCGATTGTCCAGAATCGGTAAAGGAAGGGGCAGAAGTGTGGGCGCAGGGTGCTGCTGCGCCCTAACTGCCTGTGTGCGTTATTTGTTCCAGGCCAAATTAGAATGAATGCTGTAAATGGGTACCCCAGAACGATTAAGATGGTCTTAAAGGCAGACTTCTTAGGTTCAAATCCTACTGGTCACATGCCTTCTCAAACCTTTTTCGTTTACATAATGATGACGACCCCCCCCCCCTCTGCCCCACCTCCTCCCTTTCTCTGTTTTCTCTCCCCGTCCTGGCTCTTCCTCTTTTTTTTTTTTTTTTTTTTTTTTTTTTGCCATGTTGGAGCTTATACCTAGAGCCTCACACATGCTAGATAAGCACTCTGCCGCTTAGCCATATGACCAGCCCAGTCACGGCAATTGTACCCTTGTGTCCTGGTGCTATCTAGAAGATTTTAATGTTAGGACTCAGAAACCACCTGACTATGCTAGGGTAGGTGGGCTATAAATGCCAGCCCTGGGTGGTATCTGTTTGATTGCATTGCCTGGCTCTATGCTACCAGGCTGAGGCCAGGGAGCAAGCAGCCTGTGGGTGGTATCTGGTGTGTTGAGCCTTTCCTGTGTCCCCTGCTTCTAGAGGTTTTAGCCTGCATCTTTCCCCCCTTCTTCTCTCTCACTGTCTGGAATCTGAACGGCCAGGATGGAAAACCTGTGCCCTATGAACAGAAATAGACAGAAGTAATTAGTAACTTGCTTTCATCCCAGGTGACAAAGGGATGGACAAATGACATTGTGACTCGAACCCCAGGGACTCTGCGCTGTAAGTGCTCTGTGGGTCTCCTCTGGCTTTTCTCGGGAGTGGGCTAATGAGTGTCAGACCCCACTGGGGCTGCAACAGAGCCCAAGCTGTCATGGCAACGGAGGGGCTTGGGTCCCCTCCAAACCAATGCATTTTCTCAGGAGCCATTTCTGTAGGGTTTGCCCGTCCTTTTCTAGAGATCAAGCTTCCCCACGGCCCTGTCTCACTAGGCTTTCTGTGGTCTTGCTGCCTTTGAGGAGTTGGTGGGATGCTAGTTCCTGGCTGCTTCCCTCTTTCTAAGAAGTCAAGGGAATAAAATGGAGCAGTGATGTGTGGCACCTGGGAGGGAGAGGGCCCATGGGGGACAGTGGTAAGGATTATTAAGACATATTTGAGGAGATTGCCTTTCCTTTCCCAAGGAGTTAGGTTCTGTACTTAGTGAGCACCATAGCTGCCATGAGCTGGGTGTCTTCAGGTTCTTGCCTTGAAAATTCTAAGCATGGAATTCATGAACACATGGGGTGAGTTTTAGCGAGTTTTTTAATAGATGCATTGTTGGAAATTTAAATGTGTGTGGTGGTGCGGGGGAGCTTCCTGCGTGTCAGGAAGGGGGTCCAGGAATTAGGGGGTCATTGAACTGCTAGCCCGGAGCCTACTTTGGAAGGACTTACGGTAGAAACCTGGGTGAGGGATGAGGAGTGAGCTGGAGTCTATAGCCCCAGCCTGGTGTGCGGGCGCCGCCTCTCAGTTTCAAGCATGCGACTGCATACAGGCCAGGCAGAGGGTCTCTTTAGAAGACAAGAAAGACACAAGAGCACAGCTCTCTTGCGACACCCCTGGCCTCTGGGGGATGTTCATCCTTGAACTGCTGCCTTGGTTGGAGGCCCTGCTCTACCTGGTCAATTTCTATGTTCTGTTCTCATCAGGAAGACCAGACACCTTAACAGGGATGGAGAGTGTAACACTGAGCCCACAAGACCTCCTCCTGGACTCTGGGACAGCCGCGTACCCTGTCCATTCACCGTCTAAAATGACTGATCACAATCAACTGGTTAGAACTTAGGCCAAATTCAGTCTAAGTGACACAATTGATAGCCACAATGCTGTCAAGTCAGCAGTCCTGACCCTTCTCCTCACTCCTCAGGGGTAGCCATGTTGGCTTCTGTATCTCCAAAGGTGAAGGGTCCTTCTCTCCCAAAGACAGTCCACAGATAACTTTTCCAGCCATGCTTCCATCATGTGCTCTTTTTGAGTGAAAAGGGTAAAGCATTAATGTTAAGCTGGGAGGGTCACCCCAGCCCCTGGCCTCCATCCCAGCCCCTTGGCCTGGGAGTTGCATTGGTCTGGACTCCAAATCCCAGCATGCCAAGTCTTGACCCCTCCCCAGGGTATTTAAGTGGGTGCCCAAAGGAAGAACACATGGTCCTGGGTTTTGCATGTGCTCCCCGGTTTTCTGTCTCCCCTGACATGCTCTCGGCCACCCGAGAGTGCTGCATTTAATAAAACATGGGCATTTTAATTTGGTTTGATTTGGCCTGACTGGATTTCTTTGTGCCGGTGGAGTGGCTCATCTTAGGCTTTTTCCTTACAGGTGGATTCGCGCTAAAGATTCAGATGGACCTGAGAGACAGCTTCTGCTGTTGCCTGAAGTATCCCTGGCTGTTCACTGTGACTTTCCATGATCCACAAACAGTTCTGTCTGAGAACAGGGTCACCTCGTCTACATAATTGTATGGCTCCCCATGTGAGCCTTCCACAGGCATGGAACGATCACCATGCAGGCTCTGCAGGGGCTGGGGACAAAGAACCCAGCTAGATTCCCATAGATTGCAGGAGGCCAGGAAAGATGAAGTACTGGAACTCCAAGACCACACAAATCTTCCTAATGTCCCTGCTCGCATGGAAGTTTCTGGTGCGTGCACCGCACATTCAGCTAAATGAAATGTCCCTCTAGCTCAAGCAGCCTTAGGGATAGCACTGGAGACTCCTGTGTTTTACAAAGACCGTTGCACATCATAGCCTGACTTTCCTGAGCCCTCTTGGTCCAGCATAACTGAGTAGAACGTGAGAACATGCCTCAGATGGGGCTTGTCTTCCGTCTCCATAGCAACGACCCTCTCTCAAGGAAATCTCCCTATACAGTCCTAAGGTAAGAGCTGACTCCTGTGTTTTCTTGGGGTGGAGCTAACTTGTCAGTCAGCTGCCATTTCTCCACTCATTCCATCTTCTCTGTACAGCATCCATGATATTTCCTCCACAGCCGCTACAAATCTTTTCTTAAACTTTCTTCCCTACAGTTAGCACAGGGGGCTGCAGGGATGGCTGAACGTTGAATAAAATCTCCTATTTAAATACTGAGTATGAATATCACACTCACAGCCTCTATCAGGGGCCTGGTTTTATCTTACATGTCCTTTTGCTCTATGTCAGAAGTTGGCACCTACCGGAGTCAAAGGCAGCTGTCTCGTAGTTTAGCCTGTTGCATATGGGAGGGTCCAACAAGGGAGCTCAGCCCTGCAAAGATTCTTGATAATGGCTGTTGAGTAGCTAGCCAATCAGATCTCTCTTGGGGAATTGGGACTAACATAGGTTCTCCATTTGTTGTTGACAGATATGCTTATGTTCTGTTTTGACAAGTGACTGCCCTCTCTCCCTGGCTTACCATAGTGAACTTAACTTTCAAACACACTATATGTAAATTATAAACTATAGGTGTGGCTCCGTCCATGTGCAGTTCACTCTGGGACCTAGGAAAATGGAATATCTCCTCCATGGAACTGTGTCAAGTCTGTGGCCAGGGAGCGGCTAGCAGCATCCCTTGGTTAAGTTATCTTCTCGGCCAGCCTGACAGCAGTGGGACATCCATGTATAACCTTTCAAGGAAATGACCCACAGGACTTTTAGAGAAGGCCATGGTATATCTTGGAGAAAATACATTAGCTAGAGCAATCGTCTTAGAGTACATGCATTAAGGGTTTCTATTGCTGTGAAGAGACCAATGACCATGGCAACTTTTATAAAGGAAAACATTTAATGGGGTGGCTTGCTTATAGTTCAGAGGTTCGGTCTGTTATCATCATGGTGGGACATGGCAGTGTGAAGGCAGACAAGGTTGGAGAGGTAGGTGAGAGTTCTACAGATTGCAGGCAACAGGAAGTGGTCTGTCTATTATGGCTATTGATGATTTCTTATTGTTTGGTAGTGGGGGTGGTAATTTTATGGGATGTTTTGCTTTTGAAATAGGTTTCACTGTGTAGCCATGATTTGACCCTGATTGCAGGTAGTTGACACAATTGTTGCTTGGCCTGCATGTATTATCTAGTTTTCTGTTGCTCTGCTAAAATACTAAAACTGGAGCAACTTACTAGAGAGTTTGTTTTGGCGTAAGCTTCCAGGGGGATGAGAGGCCATCGTGGCAGGAAAACATAGCAGGGAGCTGAGGCCATCCCTGGAAGAGACGTAGGAGAGTAGTATCCACCTGAAAAAGGGTTTCCCACCTTTGGCTTTGCTGAATTCCTGTGTCTAATTTTGAGACTGATAAGGATTGTGCATCGGGATTAGTAAACTCTGGTCAATCTTATCTCTAAGGAGTCTGAGGCCCAAGTGACAATCCATCTGCCGTTGTCCTCAGTGACTTTTTTCCAAGGGATGATCGCAGCTGGGGTGCTGCGCAGTCTTTATTGTTCCTAGGTGGGTGGTTTGGTGAGTGCTATAACTAATAGCCTCCCACCATCCTTGTTTATCCTCTTTGGCCAGTGGTTGTTTTGCCCAGTCCCTCTTGCTCCAGGGCGTATTCCGGGTGGTCAGGTAAGCTAGACTCCACTGGTTCTAGGGCCATTTCCCTGGTGGCCAAGTAAGTCATTCTATTGCCTCTGGCTTCTGGGGAATCCCCTTTCAGCATCTTGCGGAATGGACAATGGCCACCCTCTTGAGTAACCAGATAGTTTCCAATCGGGCTAAGATTTCTTCTCTATTTTGATCTCTTTTAGTTATCTTCTTTCCCTGAATAGAGCCCCATGCTCATAGGCCATGGCAAAAGCATATGAGCTATCAGCGTATACGACGATAGCCTTGGCTTTTCCCCAGCAGAGTGGTTGAGTCAAAGCTAAAAGCTCAGGTCAGTGAGCTGAGGTTACCCTGCTTAAAGATTACTCTTACCTTGGGTCACCACCACGGCCCCTGCATACATGCTCCTGTCTTGGATGAAACTGCTCCCATCTGTGAACAATACATCATCTGATATTGCCAACGAGACATCAGTCATATCAGGTCTGATAGGCTCCTTCAGGTGGCAGTGTTGGATACTCTGCAGTGCTTGATAGTGATGGTTCAGAGAGGGGGCCCTGGAACATATCCGTGTACATAACCCCTAAGAATCCTCTGCAGCAGGTTCATTCTTCTCCAACCCTGGGGGTCCTGAGGCATCTAAGTATCAGAATCCAGTGTCTAGCGATCTTGCTGGGGCCTCTAAAATATTACAGGGAGTCGACTACAGCTGACCAGATCCAGTGCATAGACAATTGAAAGTCTGTTCCATCCAGCTGGGACTACACTCAGGTATTTGGGGACCCAAGTGTAGCCCCTCAAGTATTTAGACCAAAAAGCTTTTAAAGGCAAAAACCACATTCTGGTATCTTGCTCAGCAGCTGTAGGAGGTAGTTTGCATAAGCAGGTGCTTAACAGAAGTTAAGTATGGGGCATCCCTGCCTCAGATCCTGGAACAGAGTAAGGTAATTTTCCATAGGTTTTTCTATCAAGGAGATCAAGTTGCAGTTTAAGTTGACATGGCCTCAACAAAAATAAAAGATGGTGGAATCTTTGCACTGCCTTGCCCTGTCACAATTGGGAACTAAGTGTTCAAATCCTGAACCCTGGGAGGGGGTTATTTCTCATTCAAACCCACCATACCCCACCATATATGCTAAGGACAGATCTTTCTAGTTACCCAAATCTACCCATTTCCAACCTGTTTTGTAGCCTTCACACACACACACACACACACATACACACACACACATACACATACACACACACACATACACATACACACACACACACATACACACACATACACACACACATACACACACACACACACACATACACACACATACACACACACACAGATTTCTAATGGACTGAAAAAATATACACGCATGGTGTCCATGAAAGATGCTCATATGTATGCATGTGGGCACATACTCTCTCCACTTTGCTTATTGAGGCAGGGTCTCTTGTTGAATGCAGAACCCACTGATTCTTGTTGGTCTAGCTAGTCAGTTTGCCTTTGTTCTGGAATTACAGGTGGCCACCATGTTTGACCAGCATTTACATGGGTTCTGGGGATCAGAGCCCTGGTCCTGCATCTTGTGGATAAGCAGGCGTTTTATCCCTAGCCCTCTAACAGACTTTGTATCCATTTCACTGTAGGCTTGAAGTAACAAGTCAATAAGAAGGCACATGCTGATTTTTGTTTGCTGCTTTCTGTGTGGCAGGCAGTGTGTTAGGTGTCTTATACATTTATTTTCTAACACTTTCTTGGAGAAGACAAGCATGGAAAGGCAAATTGCTGGTAAAGAAGACTCACAGACTCCATTTCTTTGACTAATCAGAAAACAGAATGGGAAGTCAGGGGCTGGAGAGATGGCTCAGTGGTTAAGAGCACTGCCTGCTCTTCCAAAGGTCCTGAGTTCAATTCCCAGCAACCACATGGTGGTTCACAACCACCTGTAATGAGATCTGGTGCCCTCTTCTGGCCTGTATACTTAATAAATAAATAAATAAATCTTTAAAAAAAAAAAAAAGAATGGGCAGTCAGGAGCCATGATCATCACAGGAATCTGTCATTGGTCCTCACCAACTAACAGGAACAGGAAATAACTTTTTGGCTATTCTGTCTCCATCTTTGGTCATGGCTGGTAAGACAGGAAGAGAAAAGGAGCTACTCAATCCATTGTAAATAAAACTGGTAATCTTTAGTGTTGGGGAGATGGGAATAAGAGCACTAGCTATGCATGGAGGAGACAGAACTCAAGTTCAAATCCCCAGCGACTATGTCAAACCTGGAATGGTCATGTTGTAACTGTAACCCCAGGATTGAGATGATAGGCATACTAATGTAGCCAAAATGGCAAGCTTGTCAGTCTCAAGAGTCTCCATCTCAAAAGATGGAGGCAGAGTGACTGAGGAAGACTGTACTCAGGCCTCTGGATGCATGTGCTTGGGCCTATGCACCCCACCACCACATACATACACCAACACACACAAATCAAACAGCAGAAACAATGAAAAAAAAAAGGCTGGTGATGTTATAAAAATGATGCCAGGAAAGTGGAGCATCCATGGGCAAGAGGATGCTGTATCAAACACACAGACTCAGACTGGTCCCAAGACCCAGAGGAGTGGGCTTATGCAATAGCTGCAAGAGACAGCATGACAATATTCACCTAACACATATGTCACACTAAAAACAAACTCTTAGTGAACCAGATAGAGGTGGTATTCATTGTAAGGAACACGAAGAAACAGCAGCCCATCAAATTGAGACTAGCTTAAACCATCCCCATTTTCTGCAGCTTCATTTGTGGGCTGGGGTCGAGGCTGCCTGCAGCAGTGCCCA